GTGCTTGTTTCAATTTCCACCCTGCCCCGCTTCCACCATAAAGCCTGAGACACCGGCCAACCCGCAGATCCGTAGGAGCTATTGGGAAAGGTGGCTTGTGCACATCCCTCGATCAAATAAATATTCGTGTCAATTTAGAGGCCTTTAGGTCGAACGGTTTCGCAAAGGGCGACGACAAACAGTAGCAAAAAAAAAATACGGTACCGACATAGGATGGATCGCTCGCACCGATCACTCGAGCATATGTACGTATTCCTCCCGATCTACAGGTTATTCAATGAAGGTGACTTGTTTGGCACGGGACGATGATGTGCAAAGTACTAGAAAAAAAACTCAATATGGCGACGACGTAGGTCAAAATGGCTGATACATGCTTCCCACCACCCAGACCGTATATTAGTACCAATATAAAAGTTTTTGTCGAACTGTTTTGGCACTGGTAGACGAAGGGTAGAACTGATTTGAAATCCTCCGAGAGCGACTTGAACTGCCCCTGTGTGTACGAATGTGAACTGCTTCCTTCCGTTTCACAAGTCTCGTGATCGGCGTGAGGGATGAGGGCGTTTCAAAGGAAACGAGGAAAACTGCAGTGGATGCCGGAGTTTTGTTTGGAACATTCTGGTCTCACAGGCGAGGTTAGGAAATGTACGAGGGTATTTGTGCATCAACACTCGGTGTCGACAATGGCTGCACCCGACACGCTAGACTCTAGCCGATTGCAAATAGCGGGTGGCATAGCATGTGCGTCCGAAGAAGAGCAAATAAGTGCAACGCGATATCTGAAGGTGGAAGAGACTGACTCGGGTGTAATCTATCGGCGAAAGCGTCAAATATATAGCGAGGAGCGTTCGTCTCGATCCGCCGCGTATGACAAGTGCCGAAGCTCTCGACTGGATGGAGAAAGTACGAAAGACCTGCAACGACCAGATCGAACACATGTAATCGTTACCGGCGAGAAACTTTCCAAGGTGGACGGGTTAATCGGGGACACCAGATGCTTCACCTTGGAAGCCTCGTGTAGAAAGGTGTCTGGGAGCATGGGGTGTCCTCGTCCATGACCGCCTGGCTTGTCGGACTGCTTGTCCTCATCGTCCCCAAGGCATCCCGAAGCCGTCCTGCCAAAATTCGAAGCATCCAAGAAGCATTCTGCCGAAAGCCTTGGCACCGGTCGCATACCCGGATCGTGACAAAATAGCCCATGCCATGGGGGAGACCGGGGCTGATTGTAACAGGGGTAGGTTGTAACAAGGGCGATAGTTCTATGCCTTTTCATTGTGCGGCACCGAGGGTTCCTTCTGTCCATTCAAACTGACCCCCCGCCATGTTTAAACAAAACGACAACACGAGGCTCACCGTTGTTAGGAAAATACTTATGAAAATAGTTTTCGCGCCATGTAAGTTAAGTTTTTCACCATCAGAAAATTTGTAAAGCTTTCCTACATGTGCAATTTGAGTAATTTGATTGGAGTATTGTTGGAAGTGGGATGTAATACCTATATATTTGGTACAGTTTCTGGAGGTTCACCTTTTCGTGGAAGATCTGTTAGCGAACATTTTGTGCCTTGAGTAGGTGGTGAGGTTGGTTGAAACAAAGTTGAAGGGGCAGGTTGTAACTATAAGAATTGGTCACATGAAGAGTGCGCCGACACTCATGGTAGAATGGCATATACTTGCCACAATTGTGACAGTGACGATGATGGAGTATAATCTACTTTTAAATGCAAAATATAAAGTCAAATAAGATATTTTAAAGGTATTCAAGTTTAGAAAAAATGTGACCGAACCCTGGAAAGTTTTACCATGGACTGAATTTGCATGGCCAATAATTTCTAATTTTGTGTGTTGCAATAAAATATTATACTCGTTCAGTTAGTTTGGTTTTTTATTGATTCATCTATCGACTGTAAGCAGTTATAATTCCTGTTACAAGCGACCCCGGCATGTGTTACAACCAACCCTGAGCATGGGGTTAAAAGTAACATTGGTGGTATAACATAGCCTTATAAATCGTGAATTGCTCCTAAGCGAGTGAACAAATGTTATTTCAAATAACGTGGTATGATAGCCAAGATGTCAACCTTTCGATTGATATATAATAGAGTTCAACTCCTATTAGCATCACGTCGAGCCCGTTATTTCTGAAGAATGTTACAACCAGCTCCGGTCTCCCCTACTCTGCGCGCATTTGCTGACAGATTTCACCCATGTTCACCTTTTTCTCATCCGGAACTGACATTTCGCGTCGCTGCTTTTCCTCGGATGCGCCTGGTACGATATTTGCCATTTGCATTTGGTTGCAGCACAGCGTCCAGCACGAGGCCAATGTGGACACCATGCGTGCAGATGCACAAATACATCCCTAACCCTGCCTGAAATCGTAGGATGTTCACAAAAAAAACCGTGCCATCTGCTGCAGTTTTTCTTAGTTTCATTTGGAATACCCTCGTACTTTGCCTTTGACTTAGCACCGTTCCAGTGAGGGATTGCAAGATGAAAATTTTACTTGCTCTAACACTTCNATAAAAGCCCCAAGACAAGTTAAAAATTAAGAAAGTTAAGCCTGCACACTAAAGTGATAGATAGGAATATAGAGAGGGGATTAACCAATGTAGGTTTCGAAATCAAGGGAGTATGAGAACAGTTTACTTCAGCAGCATGCACCTGGTGAGATAGAGTCGAAAACAGAAAGAGAAGGGAAAAAAATCTCGGTATTCACCCCTCCCCTTTCCCACTTCCTCTCTTCCTTCTCCTCTTTTTTCCCCTTCCAGTCTTTCTTATAGTCAGTCCTAGCATTTCCGGAATTTGATTGTGATAAGAAATCGCAAGCCCCTGCTCGTCACGCCGCTTCTTCCTTTCCCCGCCCGGACGGACTGAATTGTACTGTACTCGCCTCGATCCAATGGGACATTTCCCTTTTAAAATACTTTGTCGATGCATCGCGATAGTCGAAAAAACTATCGATATATCCAACTATCGATAGTGGTATCGATGCATCGATCTATCGTGACAGCCCTAGTTAAAAGTAACATTGGACTAGCCTTATAAATCGTGAATTGCTCCTAAGCGAGTGAACAAATGTTATTTCAAATAACGTGGTATGATAGCCAAGATGTCAACCTTTCGATTGATATACAGGGTGATTCTTTCGTTTTAGTACCCTGCCTGAGTTATTCACGTTTTTTAGGGTACTAACACGAAAGAATCACCCTGTATAATAGAGTTCAACTCCTATTAGCATCACGTCGAGCCCGTTATTTCTGGAGAATGTTACAACCAGCTCCGGTCTCCCCTACTCTGCGCGCATTTGCTGACAGATTTCACCCGTGTTCACCTCTTTCTCATCCGGAACTGACATTTCGCGTCGCTGCCTTTCCTCGGATGCGCCTGGTACGATATTTTCCATTTGCATTTGGTTGCAGCACAGCGTCCAGCACGAGGCCAATGTGGACACAGTGCGTGCGTATGCACAAATACATCCCTAACCCTGCCTGAAATAGTAGGATGTTCACACAAAAAAACCGTGCCATCTGCTGCAGTTTTTCTTAGTTTCATTTGGAATACCCTCGTACTTTGCCTTTGACTTAGCACCGTTCCAGTGAGGGATTGCAAGATGAAAATTTTACTTGCTCTAACACTTCTGATTTAAGAATGCCTCCAACTGAATGAGGGAAAGATTCATCCGCGTGGCCAGAGTCGTCCTTAGGGTCGCAGCCAAGATGGCGCGGATAGGGAGATCCTATCAACGCCCTGGGGAAAAAATAAAGTAAAATTACCCAAAACAGGGCACCGTTAAGAATGACCAGGACATGGCAGAAACACTCAGACGCACACCCCCAGAGTTAGGTCGTTGTCTCCTTCCATACGCTGTATCCTTCCATAATCCCCTCCCCCCCTTTTGGATTTTCGTCCCTCGTTCGCTTCTTGATTTTCAAACCATAAGCGGAAGCAGAAAGTGTTTCAAAGCAACAGCACGCTACTCTACAGCAAATACCTGGTACGACTCAACATCCAAATGATGTCGCATGCTTTTGGCACACCAACCGGACCTCTCCAAAAGTATGGTACATTTATCAATAAAAATTTACAGAAACTAAGAGGATGAAAAATTGTGATGAGAAGCATATTGCACTGCCATTCTTCGACTGGAAGGCTCTTTGATGCATAGTAAACTTCGTTCAACCCAAAACCACTTGCATCGTTGTTGGCTGGCGAATATCCGAGCCTCGTTAACCTCTTTGATCAGCGTCACCATCAGTCTTCTTTCCGACCGATTATTGATTTGAATGGACATAGACAACTTGGAAAAAAAAACATGCTTGGGTGGTACCTCCTAGGATGGGGGTGGGGGGCGGGAGAACACCCTACCTGGAAGGAACCTGCAGCCTCGCATGAATTTCACTTCACAGGATAAGGCACTGCCCAGCCTGTTCCTGGACAATGCTCAATCCAATCAGTAATCTCCTACCTCTCCTTACATGGCTTTCCATGTCGCCAACCCCATCCAGTCCCACCTATAGGTGGATATACCCACTCCCTCCGCAGGATAGGGGACCATGCCCCCTCCTCCCTCTCGGACCTCTCTGTTTGTATCTGGACCCTTCAAAAGTCCTTAAACTTTGAAGGGGGGGGGGGGGGCCGGAGAGCTAAATGCCTCCTTTGCTAAGGAACTCTTCTGCCGCGGATGGTGCACTCTGTAGTTTGAAATAGTTGCTATGGAGCAAGGCCAGACTGAGGTTTAATTAAAATCGAGAGGAAAAAAATTAGATAGACTCTTATCTCGCAGAGATGTTGTCACATGGACGAGGCCAGCCGGCCGGGTCCTGTCCCGTCCTTACATTACATCATATCCTGACATTGGTTCCAGGTAATTTTCCTTGGAATGCTGATAACCAGTAAGGAAGGATTTTTTGGAATCCCGTATATTCAGGGTCAGATTGGAGTACGAAGGGAGTATATATAAGAGGCCCCGAACGACACTCCCCCATTCAAACCTACTTCGCCTCAGCTTCCATTGTTACTTTCGATCGATCGACTTTCTTCACTCATCATGAAGATCGCTCTTGCAGTGAGTTGAACCCTTCACTTTTTCTCTCTCCACTCGCTCTCCTGACAAAGACCCCGTATACGAGGTGCAGTAAAAAAAAAGTATTCATCAATGGGACATAACCATACTTTAGGTTTATTTATCCCGAAATGAATAAGTGTAGGACACCTTGTCTAGAAAGTTCCCCTCGTTGTCAGCACAAAGTTGTCAACGATGTACCTATTGTTCGTGGCAACTTGTGAAAGCTCCCGTTGAAACCACTGGAGAATGGCCATGATATCGCTCTGCTTGAAGGTGCAATGTCTCGAAGGAGAACGTGTCCCTGGTTCAGATCTTGCACCGGGATCGATTCTCCATACAACCAAGGCACCTCCACTCCGAGTGACGGTCATCTAGGACTTTCTTACTCGGCGTGGCTTTGAAATCTTACCCCACCAACCCTACTCGCCAGATCTCAACTACGAGGGGTGCTCCTATAAAGATTTCTAAAGTACAAAAACCACAACGATTTCATCATTATGAAATGACACAGCAGAAAATCTCCACAACTGCGTAATGCAAGGTACTGGACAATGAACGTGGGTCACTTGGCCACAGTTACCATTTGAGGCAATGCGTTTTTTGTCGGCAAGGTACCATCTTTAATATCACTTGCTCATGAAATTATGGTGTGTTTCGGAACCGATGTTGTCCCACCTGCCTGAACTCATTCAATACCGTCATATTGTTTTCCAGTCAAGAACTTGCTCCTGGTTTTCTCCTGTCCCGTGCATGAAACTTGTTTTGGATGGAAAGCACTATGATAGTGCTGAAGGCTTCCAGGTAGCTGTGATCGCATAAGTTTGATACAACTCAGTCGTTTTACGAGCAGGGTAAATTTAAGAGAGAATCGTGCAGCAAAATTGCATTGCCGCCAAAATGCACCCGCAACTCCACTCGATTCGAGCAAAAATATTGTAAGTATGACGGGATTAGTGTCAGAGCTGTCAAATGGGAGCTTTAGGGTTGCTACACAACTCCGCATAACATTTCTCGGTGCTACGAGGATCAGGCAAACTGTTACCTATTTAGGGTTGCCTTTTTTCACGAAACCCTGGCCAAGAACGTGTAACGCCAGCCTTATCGTTATCGTGGTGTTTAATAGTTTAATAAAAGTTGAAGGGAAGTCTTTCCAAGGATGACTGCAAGGGGGGGGCGATGTTTTTTAATTTTCAATAAGGCTTATAGTAAAGAAGTACCAGATGAGTGGAGATAAAGTCGATGTGCTTTTCAGATTCTGCTGTGCTTGGCACTGGTGCCCCTGGTCATGTCTGGCTTCAAGAAGAAATTCTTCAGAAGAGGCTACGGATACGGCGGCGGCTATGGCGGCCATGGCGGTTATGGTTACCACGTCGCGTGAGTTGCTAAATTACTTAATTTTAATGATATCAACCTTTCAAATTTAGAAAACAGATGGAGCGGTGAACTCATTATAATCTTTTCCCATCATTTTCTTCTTCAGACCCATCATTATCGGAGGAGGCTACGGCCTGGGACACGGTGGATATGGCCTGGGACACGGTGGATATGGCTTGGGATACGGTGGATATGGTCTTGGATACGGTGGATATGGTCTTGGACACGGTGGATATGGTCTTGGACACGGTGGATATGGTCTTGGATACGGTTACGGGAGGTAGAACTTCTCTTGTCGCTTCAACCTTATTTATCATCCGTCAAATTCATGAGCTACAGATAATAAACTCTTCTTGCAACTACGTTTTGGTTTCTTGAAAGTGGTGAGGGGAAACTACTCGGGCAAGTAAACTCGAGAGTGAAGTCTTGTCCGGATTTTAATCGGTTTTAAATCGTACCATTGTACCTGAAAGATGGTGTGCAAAATACGAGGGGATATTGAAAAGTTTGTGGACTGAATTTGGCATGGTACCGTTGCAATTTGCACGCAGATTTCGCTGCCACGATAGTGTGACGTTATCAGTCTCGAAGCAGTACACAAGTTGTGACTGTCCTGTCTGCATTTTGTGCGCAGTCATAAAGTAATATCGAAAGTTGTGTTAATTATGGCGACCGAGTAAGATGTTCCGTTACATGTTCGTCAACGGTGACTTTTGTGTTAGGCTTCAGAAGAGTTCTACTGAGACCTCATACAGCGAGGATATGGACCTCAGGCGTAGGGTAGAAGTGCAAGTATCGTATTGGAACGAAATAAAGAGGTGAAGAGTTTGAATTAATGTGATCGTCTTGCTGAGCGACAGTTCCTAATAAACCTTTCATGAACGAATTTTGAGATCCTGATTTCCTTAATTCCATGTTATTGTACCTAGAGGTTTGTGGAAGTGCTGGGGGGGATCAATATCACTCCGCCAAAAAAATGTGCTGTTAATTGTGGCTTTCGAATTTTCGTTGCATGTACTGTATATCATAATTATGCTTGAAAACATCTCATTTCATACGAGACTGTGATCAAAGTTCTTTGTACAGATAAGGGCCACGATGCTCGACGATTGGTGAAAGCATTCCTCGATCGTAGATGGACAACAGTTTGTCTTAGTTACTTGTGGAAGTTGATGCGCTCTCAACCTTTTTTTCATTCGATCACTCCATCGTGGCAGTTGAATTGCTAAGAGAAAGCCGTTCGTGAAAATGGGCAAATTAGTATAATGCGTAGCACAAGTCACACGCAATATGCTCTCATTAATGCTTTAATGGTGTCCTTAAAAATCCAGGCGCAAAGGCAAAGTCTTGGCCAGTCTCGAAGGGCACTTTTCAGCATCTAAGAGTCATTACCTACATGAACTTTTTTTCATGGGCTGGTTCAAGGTTGTTTAATGGTATCAAGAGGCGATAACACCCATTAGGGTACTACGTGTCGAGGTTGAGCGTTCCTTAATTTTAGGGTGGGCCAACTCCTCTTAAAGCTCAATATTTTTGTACTTTTGTGAGTTTTGTGATTTTTTTTTAGCAAATCCTAGTTCCTTAAGTCAACATTGCCCCCCTTCTTGCTTGTCCATAAAAGCATCTACTTTCTTCTTAAAGATAGTCACAGAAGGGGCAGCCATTACGTCGTCGTCTAACGCATTCCATGCATTTATCACTCTACAAGTAAAAAAGTCCTGTCTTAACCTGAGCCCCACCTGCGGTTTGCGCAACTTGAGTTGATTACTTCTCGTTCTCTTGCTTCCATAGATCTGAAAGAACCTACCATACTCGACATAATCTATTCCTTTAATTATCTTGAAAGCCTGGATGAGATCGCCTCTCCTTAACCTTCTCTCGCGCGAGTACAGTCCCAGCACTTCTAAACGCACCGCGTACGGAAGTCCCCTAACCTCCTTTATCATTACTGTGGCCCTCCTCTGTACCCCCTCGAGCGCCAACAATTCACCTTTATTTGTAGGCCTCCAAAACTGGATGCAATATTCCAACTGGGGTCTTACCAGTGCTGCATACAACGGAAGAATAACACGGAAGTTCTTACTTGCAACCGAACGACGAATGAAACCTAGCATCCTGTTACATGTAGCCACTTTCGCTTGCGCTTGCGAGGAAAACTTGAGGCCTTCGTCGTCAAAAACTCCTAGATCTTTCTCTCCGTTTGCCTCCCCCAACTTATTCACGCCGAACGCGTCGAGAGACCTACCGTTATTTCGACCGGTGTGGAGAACTTAACATTTACTTTTATTAAACCTCATGAGCCATTTCTTGCTTCACTCATCCAAAAGACTCAAATCTCGCTCGGCTCTAGTCCTATCCGCCTCCTTCCTTATGGAAAAACCTATTTTGGTGTCGTCGGCAAATTTACTTATCATACCCTCTACGCCTAGATCCAAATCGTTTATGTAGACCAGAAACAGAAGTGGTCCCAGGACGGAGCCCTGAGGGACTCCGCTTGCGGCACCGACTTCGGTCGACGCTTCCCATTTACCATTACTCGTTGCTCTCTTCCCATCAACCAGCTACTGATCCACTCGCTCGTGAGGCATTCCAGCTCAAGTGATCAAGTTTTAGTCACTTTCGTTGGACTTCAGACTTCGATTTGCTTGAAAAAATTATTGCATGTTGGCAATCACGACTTATGAAAAAATCCAAAATTTTGCCTCTCTGGTTCTAACAGACCTCGAGATATGTGCCCCCAAACTTCGCCCCCAAGAGGAAAAGTGGTCTTTAGGGTTAAAGCGCTATCTTTGGTCCTAGTCGAGCTAGAAACGCCTTTTTGGGCTCTAAGTAAAGCTGAGACAATGGATAATCGCATTATTAAAGGCATTTTATAATGCGTTTATTACAATTTGAGTTACGCAATGTCCAAAATTGTAAATATTGCAGAATTTTACACGCAAATTATTAGCACTAGGATGCATGGTAACACCACGACATTTCGCAACATTGTAGACTAAGACAATCCATTCTGAAGTCTGAATATTCTGAAATGTATATGCATGCATGCGTTAAAGATACCGACTAAATTATTGCGTTTAGAAATCCATTAACATGTTGAATATTGATCTTTTATTGCTTAATGCAAGCATGTAATAGAAATAGCTATATTCATGAGTCAAATGTGAGATATGCATAGGTCTGGTTGTTTAACCAAGATTCCCATCGCTGTAATTTCAGTCATACCTTTCGTTTGGGAATTTGCGGAATTAAAAAATTAAAAAAAACACACAAATGAAAAGTAAAAGTAACAACACGAGTAATACATCAATGGAAAGCGCTTGGAGAGAGCTTTCATTTGACACTCGTTACAAGTTTATGTCATGTTTAAAACAGGAAGTACGAACCGCCAAAGTTGGTGAAAATAGGCAATTTTGGACTTTTCAAATTTAATTTTAAGTTATTTAATAAAACGTAGGAGGTTGAAATTTAGTTATTGAATTGCAGTTGTCTTAGTCTACAATGTTGCGAAATGTCGTGGTGTTACCATGCATCCTAGTGCTAATAATTTGCGTGTAAAATTCTGCAATATATACAATTTTGGACATTGCGTAACTCAAATTGTAATAAACGCATTATAAAATGCCTTTAATAATGCGATTCTCCATTGTCTCAGCTTTACTTAGAGTCCAAAAAGGAGTTTCTAGCTCGACTAGGACCAAAGATAGCGCTTTAGCCCTAAAGACCACTTTTCCTCTTGGGGGGGCACATATCTCGAGATTCGTTAGAACCAGAGAGGCAAAAGTTTGGATTTTTTCATAAGTCGTGATTGCCAACATGCAACAATTTTTTTTCAAGCAAATCGGAGTCTGAAGCGCAACCACCCCTTGATCACTTGAGCCTCTCAATGCCTCTCGTCCTACCCTAGACTTCAAGACATCAATGCTCGGAACCAGGGTTTTGAAAAAAAAAATTTTTTTAACTTAATTACCCTCTTGATTCATTACGCACACGGTAACTAAGTGCACCAAAAATACTCGTATTTCGGGCCTGTAGAGGCAAGGATTCATTTCCTATCATTCAGTTTAGTTTTAGCTTCAATAATCTAAGCTTCGTTTAACACTTTAATAACTGATTTAAAAATGTAAATTATGTAAAAAATTGTTTTTCATCATTAAACCATCCACTATGAAACGTCATTGACTACAAAAATGCAAAAATTCCAAAAGAGGTCACAGGGATTCATAAGCCCCGCCAGTTCTCAAGGTCGGGCATTCCTATATAGCCCAACAAAATATACGGGGAAAGGGGCAGGACTCCAGGACTGGGGTTCAAAAATGACATTGAGTCTCAGTTCTAGTGCAAATTTCAGCTGATGTTTCAACATGCTTCTAAATCTCCATGGATTGCTGAGACAGTTTCCTTTGAACACCATCCACATGCATTATCATGCTGAACTGCTGATGAAATACAAAAGGGGGTAAAGCCGTTCTGAAAAAGAGGGAAGCAGGATGCTCTGACCCTCTTTCCCCAGTGACCAACCTTCTGCTCATCTTCCGGCTTATTTTCGTTTCTCTTAATGCACTGGGCTCACTCTCTGCTTTGATGAATTCCCATGAAAACCTCTATAAAAGTCACAGCTCACTCTGTCATCCATACTAATGCACGTATCAAAGGGTTTGAGCCTCAGCAAAAAAGGGAGGGCAGAAGGAGGGCCAGAAGCATACGAGCAACAGTTAGAATGGCGCCGAGTATGAAAAACTTGAACGTGAAAGTGTGTATTTCGAAATTGGACTTTGGCTCCCAGGTCCCTTCACCCCATGAAGTCACGTATGCCTCGTACATTCAAACACCAAGGACACATCTCAAGCCCCTTTATGCCATACTCTGCAAAGAAAAGGTGCACGTTTTTTAAACCCTGCATGTCTATTAAAGTGGATATTTTAGGTTCTCACGTTTAAAAGTAACTTGAATGCACTTTTGTAGCGAAATGAATGACAGGAAATTCCTTTCAACGTATTATTTACAATTATACAGAATTGCAAATGAAGACCATTTATTCTATTTTGACACATTTTACTAACAGGTAACAGCAAAATTCTTGAAAAACTCAAAATACAAAATATCCACTTCAATTTATGCATATTTATATTTAAATACATTTCAGTATTTTTTTTAGTTAAATACATGTCAAAAAATGTATTTGTATTTTATATTTGAAATATAGTACTCTGCAAAAAATGTACTTTGAAATACATTTGACAAAATACTTTTTAATTGGTTCAGTGCAACTTCATTTCTTACT